AGAGGGGGGAAAGATTTAAGAGGGGTAGCTTTTCCACGCGAGGATGGTGCGTGTTTGGAACGTGGTGGAGGCTGGTACAATTACAACGTTTAAAAGGCATCTGGGTGGGGACGTGGCTAGGAAGGGTTTAGAGGGGATTTGCTGGCAAACAGGGCTGGATTAATTTAGGATGTCTGGGTCAGCACGGACAGGTTGGGCCGTAGGGTCTGTTTCCCGCGCTGCACGCCTCTATGGCTCTACGATAATAAATTCCAGTTTGCGCGATATTTGGACTAAATTCTAGGGAGGATGTTGAAAAGGTAGTGTTAATAATAAAGCTCGGGGAGAATGATTAAGATGCTGGAGTTAGCAATAACGTTCAGAGCAAATAGAGACAGTCCCCTTATTAAGGGCTCGCAGCGAGAATGAAGAATAGTTGTATTGATAACGAGTTGTCGTGATGAAAACCTGGCATTCGCGAGCAATTCCAGGGAGCGCGATCCGTCCCAATCCGAGAAATAAATTCTGCGATGGATCATAAATCTCCAGCAATCGTCAGAAAGTGAAGACAAGAGGCTAAAATGTCAAAAGTATTTGGCAAATTCTAAACGTTGCGATATTAAATGATGAAGTCCCCTCATGGGATAAATCCAAGGCTGTGTGCTGAAACTCCAAACAAACAAAACAGTTCTGCATTTGGATGGTAAAATGTTCAATGGGAATAGATTCTGCGCAGCAGATAAAATCCCAAATTAAGACTGAATTCGAGGCCCAGTGATACAACGCTGTAAAGAATATTAAATTCTAATCTGAGGGATAAAAATCCCAGTTCAATAAGCTCTGGGCTGAATGACAAACTGCCCTTTCCCAGTAGTTTCTAGGCTGGATGAGAGAAATCCTCTTTCAAGAGGTAACTCTAGTGCGGCTGATAAAATTAATCATTAATTCTAGGGAGGATAGAACCATAGGGCTGTACGGCGCGGAAACAGACCCTTCGGCCCAACCTGTCCGTGCTGACCCAGATATCCTTAATTAATCCAGTCCCATTTGCCAGCATAACCCCTCTAAACCCTTCCTATCCATGTCCCCATTTAAATGTTCAAATTGCACCAGCCTCCACCCACTTCCTCTGGCAGCTTGTTCCATACCCTCACCACCCTCTGCGTGAAAAAGTTGCCCCTCAGGTCCCTTTCCCCTTTCTCACCTTAAACCTACCCCCCTCTAGTTTTGGACTCCCCCCTACCCTGGGGAAAAGCTATTCGTCTTATCCGTGCCCTTCATGGTTTTATAAACCTCTATAAGGTCACCCCCTCCTACGCTCCAGGGGAACAACGTCCCAGCCTCTTCCTTATAACTCACACCGTCTGTACCCAGCAACATCCTGGTAAATCTCTCCC